ATATGCCATAGATATTTGCCATGTGCCCGATCAACACGATCCAACAGCACATGGGGGAGGCAGAAAAGCAGCGGGCGTAGGAGGCCACCGAAGCCGCATACGGAGCGCACGAGGAAATCTTCCCCATAGGCTGTTGGATCTTGTTAATCGGATACGTGGCAAGTATCCATGGCATATATGTAGGGAGATACAGTAGATACCGTATGTAGCGAATTTTACTTTTATTTGCAGCAGCCTTCGCTGCTGCTGCTGGTTTCTTTCTCTTATAGTACCTTCGTCCCTCTTGCTATCTACTACTCGGCCTAGCTATCTACTACTAATGTAGAGTATATATATTTATTTTAGCTAGCTAGCTGATCCGGTAAGTACAGCTTAATTAATTCATTTAATTCTTTTTTTAGAACACGACTTCACGCGTTTTTCAATAAGAAGGAGAGCCGGAATTGAAGAACGGCTTACACAACGTAGCTACGGAAGAACACATAGTGCCGGTTACAGAACCATGGAGGAAGTCGTTAGAAACCTAAACGACAACAAAAAAGAAAGAAAGGCGTTAGGGAGAGGCCATCCACCACAAACCTAAACGACTCGACCTGCAAAGGAAAAATTACATCAATGCAACTCTGCCAGCAAGAGAGATGAAGGCACGGTGGCCAAGCATCCACCCAGAAGCAACGAGGCTACGACGGCAAATTATCCACCCGAGCAACACATCGGCAAAATATCCGCCAGAGTGAACGCGGCAAAGTATCCGCAATAGGGGGGCCATCACGCCCTCAGCATCCGGCATGAGGGGGGCGCCCTAGACGACGGCGGTGGCAAAGTATCTGCCCGAGCAGCAATGACGACAAAGTATCCGTCAAAGAAGAGAGGCAACGGCAAAGTATCCGCTGCGAAGAACCAAACGACGACGACAACAGCAAGCAGGCTGGACAGACCATTTTGAAGACGCGCTTGAAGCACACACAGACACAACACAGGAAGGAGCGACCCCGGCGAGAGTAGCGGGAGATGGGCTGTAGCAGTGCTCCAACGATGCTTTCAGGAAGGACCTTGAAATCCGCAGACGCCAACAACACTGATAGAAGCACACAAGTAGGTCTTTTGACCCTAGCCTGCCCGACAAACAGGAACTTCGATGACGCCTGGAGGAACCAGGCAAGGTTTTCACCCAGCTACTGAACATCCATAGGCGCAGGCCAGTCGTGGCACCTGCAGCGGCGGCCACCAACAGAAAATGATCGAAGCCGCCGGCACGGCACCAAACCACAGAGCCGACAAGAAGCCCGTCGCCCGCCAGATCTGGCAGGAAGCACTCTAGCCAGGTCACCAGCTGGTGCGGGCCCCAGTAGGCCGCAGCCAGCCCTGCCCCAGTCTGGGAGTTCTTGGAGGTCGGCCATGGCCACGGCCCCCGACAGTTAGGGGAGAGCAGCCGCTAGGAGGCCAGCCCCACCGGTGAGGGCTATGGAAGCCGGTGCTGGCCAGTCCAGTCCAGTCATGGCCGCCTGGCACAGATCCGGCACGGGTGGTGCGCTGGCCACCAGCACGATGAGGCTGGCCGTGGCCAGGCCCAACGACGCCATGATCCGGCGCGGGGGAAGCGCTGGCCGAAGGCTGACGGCAGGGGAAGGCTAGGCCACCCGCCACAAACGTGAGCAGGCTGGGGAAGTCGGCCATGGCTGGCACTGGACGTGTCCAGGCCAGCCGCGGCCGCCATCGCTGCGGCCATGCAGGGGGAAGCCAGCCACAGCCTTGCACGTGGCCATGGCAACAGCGCGGCGCGGTCGGCCAAGGACCCAACAGCACCAGCAGCTTGTGTGCCCGCGCCGGACCGCGCCACCAGTCGGGCACTCAACGGACGCCTGACTCCCTGCGTGAATCCGTAGATCCGGGGAGGGAGAGGCTAGATCTACGGCCTCTGTGGGGGCGGATCCGCCCCGCGGGCCGGCCGACCTGCCGGAGACTCGCCGGAGAAGCTCGGGTAGAGGGGGCGGTGGAGGAGTGGGGGTAGGGGTGGAGTTAGTGGACTGCGAGGGTTATCCATTTTTTGGGGCCGCCGCCACCGCGTGCTGGTGGGCGGCGACGGCGGTCAGGGAGGTGACGATGGGGAGGAGCGCTGGGCAGCGCCGGCTAGCCTGGAGTCCCGCGTAGTCAGCGCTCGGGGGAGGGGAAAGGATCGCTGATAACCGTTTTCAGTGACCTTCCCGGAAAATTCGATTGCATGCAATGCAACTTACTTTGAAATTCAATCCACAGTCCTAGTGGACTAGTGGCTAGCTAGTGTATTATATATAGCCATACATGTGCTGAATCGAACAAGGAATTATTATTATTGAGCGAGCAGTAGTCTGCAGCTGTGTCTCTAGATCGGTCTTGACTATATCGACGCGTCCATGTTATTAAGAAACGACGTACCCTACATACCGAAACATACGCGCTGGACCATAACTGATGCTAATATTACACGTCTTTGAATTCTATTCAATTATTCATGCGCACAAAAAGGACTTCTGAGCAGTGACCACTTGGACAGCTGCCTATCTATACTAGTATCAATTTATAAAACATATAGGGTGTTGTTTGGTTGAGCAATGGGTGTGGAAACAGTAATGCAATCAATTGCCAGTGTCAGCAGTTACAGGGGAACTAAAGTTGCTATTTGTTTGGTTCGCAGTGTGAGTGCTACATGTTCTTCTTCTCTTCTCCTCCTTGGAGGAAGAGGAAAACTTCTTCTTCTTGGCCGGCACAGGGGCGGGGGCCTAGGTGGGCTTGGTCTTACGAGGTCGACCCCATGGCGGGAATCTTACACACCCTCGCAACCGCTGGCGCCTCCGCGGTGCCGCGGGGGCTTGGCCTTGGGCGCCTGACCAATGCTGATGCGGGAGCCGGGTGGCATCGGTGGTTGGTGCGACAGTTGGCTTCAAGGAGATCTTGGGCGCGGGTATGGCGTGGGCGGCTCGAGAAATGCGGGGCGGAGCACGCGGGTGCAATGACGGGGCAACAACACTGAAACTACATGAGCAGATGGCATGGGGAGGAGAGGGGTAGTGGAGTTGTGCTAATCTGCATTGGTTGAGACTATGATATCATCACCCGGTCTATCCAAACACAAAAGCAACAACGCAACCCATTCACATTGTGCACCGATGGGTAGACTGGAATCGTGAAAACAAAACAGCCTCTAGGTTAAATTCGTGTTGATAACCCGGCGTTAGAAAGAGAGGTTCGTGCATGCATGTTAGGCCACTCTCAGAGAGGATTTTTCATGTATGTTGGAAAAAGTGTTGGCAAGTTTTATTCCCATGAAACTCATCTGAACTTTCATCATCACTTTCATTTATATTATACCATGTTAGCTTATTTAATGCCCATGAAACTTTCATAGAACCCACACAAATACCAACCAATAGTACCAAAAGAATATTAGGGAAAGAAATGAATCAGCATCAGGTGATGTCCGTGTCAAGACCCCAATGCAAATGAAAGACTAATTAAGATAAGAGGGAATGGTTCTTTTTTTCAAATAGGATAAAAGGGAATAACCAATGTGCATCAGCTTAGTGCTGGAGTGCATATACTTATCTTGATATAGCTTAAGACCTAGTCTTGCATAGGTCAAGCTAGTCGTGGAACAAAGGTATCGAAGATGTACCTTGTTAAGCATATCCAAAACCTTGCTGGCATGCATGTTCGTTGTCTCCAAAAAACAAGCTTTTGGAAGTTTCTCTGAACTTGAAACTCATGTACACTGCGTACGGCTGTCGCTGTTGAAGTTTCCAGGAAATGAATTCACTGACGACTCGATCCATCGACTCTGCTTGTGAGCCACAGTGCAGTGACTTCGTCAACCATCCCCTTAGAAATTAATTAAACGCGTAGTGTGCGCGTACAGTTTATTTGTAGCTAGGTCTACCATATACATGTGCTCTAGCTAGAAACCGGTGTGACTACATATATGTGGCCTAGTGTGTGTTTGTTAATGTATCAAATGATATAGATATACTCAGCAATGGCTTAACGTGACCAAAAATATATAGATAATAATAACCTACAGTTAGATATGTTATACTCGATCAAGAGCTATATAATAACCTACGATTACAAGTTTTCCAATGTCTAGGCCGTTTTAGTTTTGTTTTATGCCGAAAACTTTTTATAACTTTGGCTAAAAATTTGCACAAAAGATATGTTTTGTCATTTACAATATTGCATGAAAGATTTAATGAAAACTAACTAGATGCTCGTAAAATTTTCTATATATTGGATCAAAGTTATATAAGTTTGACTTCGAAAAAAACTGAAATGACCTACGTTTTGGAATATAGGGAATATAATTGTTCTGTCTTTGATCTCAACGGCATGACTACTATATATACCTCATGGAGTCATTGCGTCAATTAACGAAATAATTTCACATATTTATTCTTGTTTGCACATTTTGTGTAAAAATTGCCAACAATAGTAAGGTAGATTTTATTTAGATCTAGTAAAACTTTTATGGTTTCATTTCCTTAATCAATATTAGTTCATCACAATTGGGTGCATAAGCGGTCATACTGGGCATACATTGAGTGCCAGGAGTGGTGGGTAGATAGGGTTAAGTTTTTTTGCCTGATGACTGCCTTTCATTTGTTTTTCTCTCTTTTTTTATTTTCTCGTTTTTATTTCTTGTTGAGACCATGGAGAATTTTGGGATAAATAGAAAAGTTATACGATGTCAGTGTGACAATTATATAGGTAATTGAAGAGTGATTCACAATTAAAGAATTGAAGAGTGATTCATAGTATCTTCCAGAAAAATATTGTATTGATGGTATATAGGAAATAAAGAAATTCAGCAGCTTTAAACCTTAATCAGACATTGTTTCTCCAATATATATGCATGACTATGTACTTATTTTATTACAGTATATAAGAGTTTTGTAATAAAATAAAATACACCTCTTTGGATGATGAGGCAATGAGCATTTGTAATTTGCCACTTTCAAACGAGTATCGTTTCATATGAACTTGAATAACCTAATGGGCCCCACGTCATCATCTCCAGACAAGGCATCAACAACCCTCTCCGCCGTCTCGCTCTCGCCGTGCACGGGCACGACGACATCGAACGCCGCTGCAGCCCTGTGTCGGCGCATGTGTCCGCCGAGCGCCTGCCCAGTGGGGAACACGGCTCCGCAGGTGGTGCACCGGTGCACGTCGCTGGCCGCGGCCGTGGCGGCGCCCTTCCCTGGCCGCGCGCCGAGGAGGAGGTCCAGGCCGTGCGCGCGCACCAGCGGCCGCTTGTGGCTCGTCCGGTGGCCGCCGAGCGCCTGGAACGTCGGGAACGCGCGCCCGCACGTCTTGCACGTGAACGCGCCGCCGCCGGCGCCGGCCCGGTTCTGATGCTGGTGGCCGCCGCCATGCTGCTTCACGATCACCTTGCTCGCCGTCGACAGCGACAGCGACAGGATCAGTCGCCGTAGCAGGTTGTGGCTCGCCACGGCTTCCGCCGCCGTCGGTCGTTCGGTGGTAGTGCCGATGGCCATGTCCGATCGATCCACAGCTAGCTTTTTCACGTATGAATATACTACACTAGATCACGTGAGGATAAGTAGTATATATATTAGCACGTGCCTAATATAATACGTACTAAGGTGCTGCTTCTATGGACAATAAAGCAAGCTTGTATTGAATGTTTCGATGCTAAGCAATGGCGCCATATTTATCGGCGCGCCAGGATGCATGCATGCCAGAAGCATGCATTGACCTGACCTCAAGTCAACGTCAAGCTCGCCAGCGAACTGAGCTCGATCGCAGCGACCAATGGCAGGGCGCCACGTACGACAGGACGCGCGCGGATGGCGTGTGAAGTCGCTGCGTGCACGTGGCGTTACATGCCGAATTTTTTATTTTTAACCTTTTTTGAAATTTTTTCACAAATATGTCATTGGAGGTATGATTTCAAAATCTAGATCCTTAGCTCGGCGGTGACTTGGCAGGCAGCTTGACGCCGTAGATCCTGGCGCCGTAGATCTTGGCGCTGAGCTTGGTGCCGTGGTTATTGGCGTCAAGCCCTATCTTACGTATGTGCCCTCCCTTCCTTTCTCTCTTCCTCTCTCTCGCGCGCCCCGAACCAGCGCACCGCTGCCGCCACCGCCACCCGCGCCCTCGACTGCGCCCGCCCCCGCGCTTGCGCCGGACCCTGCGCCCGCGCCACGCCCGCGCCGTGCCGTGCCCGTGCCGCGCCTGCGTCGTGTCGCCCACGCCCGCCGTGCCGTGCCACCCGCGCCCGCGCCCGTCGTGCTGGCCTCGCCGCACTGAGCGTCGGCCGTCCCTCGCCCGCCGTGCTCCACCGCCGGCCCCGGCCCCTGCAGCGCCCGGCCGCGCCACCGCCGGCCCGGCTCGTCGCCCTCACCCACGCCTAGCGTCCGCTGCGAGTCCGTCCTAGGGCCATCGATCCCAGCGTCCGCTGCGAATCCGTCGACGTCCATGACGCATGTCAGTGCCACCGCCGACCCGAGCCCTGCGGCCATTCGGCACGCCACACCTGGCCTGCTCATCGGCCTCACCCACGCCCGGCTGTAAGGTCGAGATGGCGACAAGAGGAGGGTGAATAGTCATTTCTAAAATTAATCGCGTCAGCTAACCAAAACAAATGCAGAATTAAAACAATTCGGTCTAGCCAAGATACACCCCTCTTTCAAAGTTTACAAGCATCTTATAAAGATCCTAGTTAGGCAACAAAGGTGTCGGGCTAGCTAGAGCTCACCTATTCAATTCTAGGAGCAAGGTGACACAAACATATACCACTAGTATTTCAAGCAACGAGGGAGCTCCTACACATGCTAGTAAGCAAAAGCACAAAGCCAACTAAGCTCACTAGTAATACTCAATAACAAGGCAACCAATGCCAAATTAGAGAGCGCAAATACTTAGCTACACAAACTAAGCAATATGACTAACAAGGTTACACAAACCAAATTAGCCACGCAAGGAAGCTACTTCTATGCTACACAAGCAAGAAGGTAACTAGTGAGCTACACAAGCTAACTAATTACAAGAGCAACTACACAAGCACAATGTATATGAAATGTAAATACAAGCAAGTGTAACGAGGATGCAAACCAATGGAAATACAAGGATGACACGATGATTTTTCTCCCAAGGTCCACATGCTTGCCAACACGCTAGTCCCCGTTGTGTCGACCGCTCACTTGGTTGTTCGGCGGCTAATTGGCATCACCCGCCAAGTCCGCACGTCGGGCACTGCAAGAACCTACCACGAAAGTGAGGGTAGCTCAATGACACGCTCAACTAGAGTTGCTCTTCGTGGCTCCCGCGGGGCGAGCACAATGCTCCTCACAAAGCTCTTCTCCGAAGCATCGCACAAGCTTCTTACGAGCTTCGACGGAGACCACCACCAAGCCGTCTAGGAGGTGGCAACCTCCAAGAGTAACAAGCACCACCGGCTTGCAACCTGATCACATAGTGCCACTCGATGCAACATCACGATGCAATCGCACTAGAATCACTCACTCAATCGGATGATCACTATCAAGCTAGAGTAAGTTAGAGAGCTCCCAAACACAACCACATAAGCCACCAAGGCTCTAGTGTGCTCAGCAAAAAGCCCAAGGCCGAGACCCCCTTCTATTTATATCCCCCACGAAAATAGAGCTGTTGTACCCCTTCACTGGGCACAGCTCGGGGTGACCGGACGCTCTGGTCAGATCGACCAGACGCACCCTGCCAGCGTCCGATCAACGGATGGCTACCACGTTATCCATCGCTTCAAATACTGAGCGCCTGATCTCAACGGTTAAGTTGCAACCGGATGTAGCATAGTGTATGACCGGACGCAGGACCCCAGCGTCCAGTCACTTCCAGTAAGGTTCTAGAGACGCTCAACTATGACCGAACATGTCCGGTCAGTCATGATCGGACGCAGCATCAGCGTCCGGTCCTTCTCCTCTTCTTTGCGTTGCCACGTCTTTCGGTGAAGTTTCGAACCTTTTTCTTTACCGAGTTGATCCACATCAACTCCAACTTCTTCTCCTTTGTACATGTTCCAACACCACCAAGTGTACACCACCATATGTATGTGTGTTAGCTTTTCATAAACATTTTCCAAAGGATTAGCCACTCAACTTGCCACGCCACTCGATCCTATCGACAATGCAAAGTTAGATCACTCGAGTGGCACTAGATGACCGATATGCAAACAAGTTTGCCCCTCTTGATAGTACGGCCATCTATTCTAAACCCGGTCATCAACTTCTCTACACACCTATTACCGCTGAAATGAAATGTCCTAGGTTATACCTTTACCTTGCGCATTCCATTCCATCGCCTCTAATGTCGATGCAACACATGCACTAACACGATCAACAATGATATGATCCACTTCATATTATCACGTGATCATATTGGTTTATCGATCTTGACTTTACTTTCTTTTCACCGTTGCCTTTGTCCATCGGCGCCAAGTCTTGCTCAAGCTTCACCGCCACGCGATCCATTGCTCCAAAGCCTCTGACTTGCCCTTCACGCTTGCAACCAGTCCATCAAGCCAAGTCTTGTCTTGATCTTCTCCACCTTGATCACATGACTCAATGTCATGTCTCATGTGCAATGAGCTCCTTTATCATCACATGTGTGAGCTTTGCAACATCTCTGAGCCATTTTCACCTTAATGACATATGTTGCTCACACACATGTACATGTGGACTAATCACCTGTGTATCTCACATAAACATAATTAGTCCATCTATGTTGTCACTCAATTACCAAAACCAAATAAGGACCTTTCACCGGCGTCCGCTGTGAACTAATCTAGGCTTTTCAGATAATAAAAATAGACTTTTTAGTTATAAGGACGAGGAGTACGATGACAACAACGATTTATCACTTCACTTACATAGTACACCTATAGCATCTAGGCTTTTCAGTAACAGTGAACGAATCTAGGCTTTTCAGACAATGAAAATAGTCTTTTCAGTTACAAGGACAAGGAGTACGATGATAGCAGCGATTTATCACTTCACTACATAGTACACCTATAGCATCTAGGCTTTTCAGCGATTTATAATGTCAACGATGAATAGACTTTTTAGGAAACGAATCTAGGCTTTTCAGCGTCCATTGAAATAGGCTCTTCAGTGAAACTAATTAGGCTTCTTGTGACTAGTTATAACACATTGAAACGGCAACTAAACCTGCCTCTGCCTATATATATGCAATGCCGGATGCATTGCTACTTACTTCCCAACTAGTATTTTCTTTCGTTGCAGTACCAATGTCTGGAAGGTTGTCCAAAGGAAGAGGAAAGGGGAAGGGAACTACCATTGTATGGGATGGTTCTCTTGGACTCGATTTCTTTGAGGAAGCTCTTTATGAGAGGTTCCTAGTTGAGAGCAAAAGTGATTTCACCAAAGAGGCACCACTGAGAGGATATGATGAACGGAAAGAAGAGTGGCCAAAATGAATGCATTGTGAGGACTGCCTAGTGCAGATGTTCACCGAGAGAATAGATGGAGGTCGTCGTTTCTTCAAATGCCCGCTAGCATGGGTAATTACTATTACTATTTGTTTCTTCAATATGTTCCTCTTCTATACAACTTACATGACATACTTATTGCAGTCTTCCTTGGCCGAAGAAAACTATGGATTCACTAGGTGGGTCGATCCTCGACCTATTTATCCGCATGCGGAGTACATCTACTACCTGCAGGACTGTATCTTCGATCTAGAAAGGGAAGTTAGCACGGTTATAAGGACGACGAAGAGGACAACAACAACAATGGTGCCGATTCACAGGAGGCACTCTGTAATGATCCATATTGCACCTGTCCTAACCATAAGAACAAGGGGACTCCGCCGTCACCCCAGCCACCACCACCACCAACAATGTGAGGCTACTGTGGAGAAGGTGCAACACAATTTGCGATGTGGCCACACTATTAGGATGACCCTATCTTATTCACATGGCACATCCATGTGTTTGTTGTTTGGTTTAATTACCTAATGCATGTTAGGTTTAGTCAAAGGAACTCTGTACCCTAGTTCGGTACATGTTCTCACATGTGATTTCATGTGTTTTGTGTGTTGAATTATATAATGCCCTACTTCGTTAGGTTTTGTTTGCAGCACGTGATCACATTTCACTACGTCCGCAATATTTTACTGAATATTATGACCACAAATAATGAAAACAACTACATAATGAAAACTCCAATACTATATCACATTAAACAACACAATAATACTAGAAGTACGTGCTGACAGTAGACAACATTGTTCATGAATAAATCATAGAACTAGCAAATCATGGAGACTACTGAGTGCAATGAGGCCACTTTCCCTTCCTCAGGGCATCGAGATTCTCCTCCATCGCTATTTTCGCTCGGCGTGCACGCTCAAGCTTCTTCCCCCTCTCCTCCCTGTATGTAGCAACATGGCTCCTTTCCTCCTCTTCCTTGTGCTCCTTTTTTACAGCCTCCTCTCCGCGTCTCTTCTCCATCATCTCCTTGTCCTCTATCTCCCACCGCAACAGGTTCTGCATCCATTTCTTGTCTTCAGGCTTGATCTCAGTGTCGATCCACTGCTCAAAATCATAGAACGGTGGAGGGGTCTGCAAAAAAAGCAATTGTTACAAAACAAAAAAAATCATGCAAGATGTCATATGACACAAACATCAATTCCTCACCATCTTGTTAATGCGGCGCTGATGAAGTGTAGGCTCAAACGCAAAATTGGAACACATCCAATACCTTTGCCTATACGTGTCCTCTTTATCGGACTTGGCTACCTTACAAGGATCGCCGCACAAGCACATGGGCACTGGAACACCACTAGGCAGAGACAATGGGTCGAATGCATTTCTGGTCATCCGGCCATAACTACAATTCAACCAATTTTGTTCTAAGAACCAAAAGCAATTAACATTAAACCCTAGGCAAGCTTCTCCTGCGGGCCATTGATTAAAATCAGCCCTGTTTTATTCATGCCTGGTCCTAACCTTCCTGCAGTGAAATGGTGATAATATCCAGGGTTACCTTTGAATTGAATGCTCTCATGATTAATGTTCCAGTTGAATGAAACAACAAAAATAAAATGATAGTACTATATAGTAAATTGGAAGGACTATGATTCCAATCATCCATTAAAACGGTTTGGTGGAGAATCTAGAGTGGATCACCAGGACAGATGGAGATCTCTACAAATTAATTAGAAGCACTTAGGGGTGGCTGGGTGGGCATTCGGTTCTCAATTCGGTTTTGGTCAGGTTCTTCGGTTACCGATGAAATTCGGTTTCTAGAAAATAGGAATTGATCGGTTCCATGAAATTTTAGGAACCGTGCATTTCGGTTTTCGGTTATTTTGGCTTGGTTTCGATTCTAACCGAACTTTTCAGCAGAGGTTAATACAACAAAAAATATGCAGGCTTTAAAGCAAATTTAGGCAACACTACCTCTATTTTATATAATAATAATTGATAAGGGAACAATAGCAATATAGTAACACAAATACATAGCAATTCAATATGAGACATCACACATAAATCAAACATAGTCTTATAAAATACATGCATGTGAAGTACAATTCATGTATTTCGATTCTTTTGGTTAATTTTATCTGAGAATAGGAACCAAATTTTTCATCGGTTATTTTGGTTCCTCACAATCTGGAACTGTACAAGGAACTGATTTTTTCAGTTCTGGTTCTTTTGGATTTATTTCTGGTTCTTTCGGTTCGGTTTCTTAGTTAAGCACACATGCTGTCGAGGAGAGCACATCAGCCTCCCGTGACATGTTTGGTGGTGAATGCGAAAGCAGGCTCGCAACCAATCAGTATCAAGCTGCCCCAAGAATCAGGTTCACCGTCCACGTATTACTATGAGGCCTAGCTATCTTGCAGCATCTCTACTGTACGAGTACATGCTTATGTACCACAAAAAAAAGATCGATCTTGCCACAATTTTTCAGTACCATATATAATACCCCAAACACCGGTGATGGTCAAGTTGAATGAGTGGATAGTAGTAAAGGGCTGGGAGTTTATATCAGTTTCTTGTTCTGTTTCTTCTTTTGCTAAGTACTAGGAATTATATTATTATTCTTGTCATTCATGCGAGGCAGGATCAGTTTTCGCTAAGCAGAAATCAGAATATTCCAAAGTTTTACTTTTTCATTCAAAACAAAACATGCCTTGTATTTCCAAATAATGGTGCGACGAGCATGATTTTTCCCCCCATACCTCAGTACTCGGCTCATGCATGTCCTAACACTTAGGAGTAGTAGTCGTTAACATGACAGATCGACGATAGCAGGAAATTTGTGTAAATCGCGCTGCTATCGAGTAGAAAACTATGATTTTCGTATGCTGCATTGTGCTATAATGACTCTGCATAATTAGCACAAGGATGTCTGAACAACCACAAATAAACATGCACACAAAGCCTATGCATACCTCATGACCACAATCAGTACGGACGCTATCAGTTGTGATTTTCACTATGATTTTAGAAAATGAAATTTGGTTCACAACCTTATTTTTGACAAAGGCTATTCTAGCTAATTAGCTAACTAACACAAAAGGCACCATGGATACATTCAGAAGAAGAAGAATCATCAAAAACTAAGTTCATTTTTTTTTTTTTAAAAGAACTAAGGAATTACTAATAGCTAGGATTTCTGCTGAGGCTACCATATAGTCATAGCAATGTAATGCACTACTGGAAACTCGAATTGTTCTGTGGGTGAAAAAATTTTCTGTACGTTTTTTTTGGTACGCACAGAAAAATTATGATTTTTCTGTCGGTTGCAAAATATCCCGATAGAAAAATATGAAAACCCACATAATAATTGTATGATTTTTCTGTGCGTGACAATACACACACGGAAAAAATCAACACTCATAGAAAAATGCAATTTATTCTGTCGGTGCTTTAAAAACGCACAGAAAAAATATATGCACGCACAGAAAAATATATGCACGCGATAAATAAAAAAACAAAGAAGTCCTAGCCCTAACCCGCCGGCCGCCGCACGCACGCGCTCGCGCCTGCTCGGCCCTCCTCTCCCTGCCCCCGCTCCCTCTCACTGTCTCCCGCCGGCGGCCAGCCCCGGCCCCTCCCCTCCTCTCCTCCCGCCGGCGGTCGGCCCTGGCCCCTCCCCTCCTTGCCCCGCGCCGCCCTGGATCCGCCCACGGTGGCCGTCCTCGGCCAGAGCGCAGCGCGGCTGGGCTCCACCGGTGGCCGGCGCCGTGCGTGCTCACCGGTGCTGCCTCCTCCCGCCGGTCCGCGTAGGTTCTTGTGCTCCACGAAACCCTAGCCTGCAGGTAACAATTCATGGAAAACTATCATATTTACATTGACAAAAAATGTGCTAGGTATGCCTTGTTAGCTGCTAGGCTTTTGCTTGCATAGTTGCATCTGTTTAAAATTATGTTACACAGATTTTCATCTTGTTAAGTTGATAGTCTAGCATTGCATTTCAAGATTTAGACACAAGGAGGAGGCTTGAAAGCTGCAGTGGTCCATATGCAGAGTCATAGGCAACATTGGAACCCTCAATTGCCTTTTCAATTCAAGGTAAAGCTCTTCCAAAATGGCTGCGAGGCTTGACCATGCTGAGATAGATGGTGTGTGAGATGTATACTTACTATTCCATTGTTTATTAGTAGTTTTGTAACAGTGAGATGAGCAACTGTTGTACTTCCTGTGAAGCTAATCTGCTCAGTGTGACCTCAATGTTAATCCTTGTTTCAAACTAGCAACACTTTTCTTGCTTTCACAATGTGCTAATTGCTCAACACCTATTGCTTGCCTTAGGTTGCTTCTTGAACGGAAATTAGTGATATATACTGATATTATTTGATTAAAAAACAGAAGATGTGTGAGGGTGACTAATTGATGATAACATGTTGTCTCACATATTAAATAATAAATAAATAGATGCTAATCAGCATGTTGGCACAAGCAGCAGTCTGACCACTAGAAATGTTTGTACTTATTTCAGTTTGTGGGTTGGTGATTCCAGTGCCTTTAAGTGCCAGTAAGGATAAGACCTGTGACTTTATATGATGACTAGTAGTAGTAACATTTGTATATTTAGTAAAAAGTTAATATTTCTATGTCATGTCTGGTTGTGTTAGAATTAAATTAAAAAGAGATCTAGTGAGATTGATATGTGGTTCGTAGTAGAATTGAAAATACAGTTTCATATATGTTGCTTGCGTCTAAAAATTCAGACCATGCATTAGCAGTTACTCTGTCTTTGAGGTAAAGAATGTGTCAGGCTCAAATGGTAGCAGCAGCTTATTCAAATTGCTAGGATGCTCCCAATTGCCATGGCCATCATCAGACTTCTTCTCCCAGGCACCATCACCTCCATCTCCTTTTCTTTTGTCCCATGTATTTTCTGATTTGCCCCATGGGTCATTTTTATTTTGATTTGAATCCACCTGTGATGGAAGGTTTGGATGCCCTACTTGCGGTAATGCATTACTATGTCCTTACAGTTTTTCTTTATCGAATTTGTGCTTTATCTCAATGCCTTGTAGTAAATATGATGGCAACTGCTTTCAGAAATCTAAGCATTTGGTGAAGCGTGTTGATCCAGAAATGGATGGTAAGTAATGCACTCTTTAACAGGAAATTCATGCTTGGGGGAAATCTATGATACAAACCTTTTTTTTATCCATGCAGGATACCCTCAGGAACAATCCCATTTAACAAACAAATGGTTGAGCTCAAAGTCATCGAAGAAGGTAATACTCATGTAGTCATCTCATCTTCACAATTTTCTTCTGTATGCTCCTAGAATATCGCTCTTGTGAGTATCTATTGCATATCAGCACCAAAGGAACTTTTGAGGAAAATTATGTTATATCCTCATTAGTGAGCATATGTTGATAGATCAGTTATTTGTCTTTTATGTTAGCAAAAGGAAAAGGCAGCAAGTTTACTTGTTTAGCTTGTGTAAGCTTCTGTAGCTGGTTCACTATTTATTTTAATTGTATCTTGTATGTTAACGAGCTTGGAAACAATATGATGCATGTAAGTTGTCTAAAAGTAGCCCACAGTCCACCAAAATGTTTGTAAGACAACATAGCTCTTAGTGCTTGTGTTTCTATTATGCATTATTAAGCAACAGAGATATTTTTGTGCCAATTTTAAGACCTTTCCTTATATAAAGAAATGATGTCAGTTGACCCTAGTTTTGTCAATGACACATTTATCATTATTGATGATCTTTCCTTTTATGGTGTTATATGTAAACAGATACCTCTGACTGCTGTTACTTCTGTCATTGATGGCTTGAAAAAACTTTATATCGAAAAGTTAAAGCCTTTGGAAGTTACATACAAGTTCAATGATTTCATCTCCCCTTTGCTGGTTCATACTGAATTCCCATTTTCTGGATACTTTAGGAAATAGAAATGACTACTTTCCTGTGTAATCATTGTAGTATTCATGTTGACTGTTCTTACAGGTGGAGATGGAGTGCAAGGTGAAGCAGTTTACAATTGGTTGAACAAGAAAAAATAGTTTGGTTTCTTTTTCGATATCCATATTTGTGAATTCATTGAAGTATTCATGTTGAACATGTAGATGACCAGATATCATATCTGTATATATGATATATCTGCTGATAGATCAGACTGACTCTATTTTTGACATAAGTGTTGACTCCATTCATGATGAACTACTGATTTGTGTATTATTTGAATGAAACCTTGTTGGTCATGCACAGAAATTACTGTATGAAAATATATTTTTTAATATGTTGTTGCTACTGTTTTAAAATAAAATTTTTTGTGTTTTAACTCTTTTTTCTGTGAGGTCAAGCTACACATAAATATTATTTTTAATCTGGGTGAAATAAATTTTTTTGTGAGTTCACCTAGTCCGACATAAAAAAAAACGTGTGTTTTTCTGTGCGTTTATTTCTTTTTTCTGTGTGGATTAGCACACAGAAAAATTAGTTTTAATCTGGGCGAACACAATTTTTCTGTGCGTGTGTTTCTGACGGTGAACAAACAGAACAATTGATTTTTTCTGTCATTATATTTTTGTGAGTATTTTTCTGACGGTAAAATATTTTTCTGACGGTATTCGTATTTTTCTATGTGTTTTCGCACACACAGAAAAATGCAAGATTCCAGCAGTGATGTTCCGATTGGACTGGAACTGAATGCCTATACACAGAAGATTTCTGCTGAGGCCGAGACTCACGTGCGTGGTCACTGAATGGTGTAGGATCCATCGGCAATAATGGTGTCAAAGCAAAGTTGGTGCGGGACGGTAGCATGGCCAGTGATTGCAACTGCTTCTGCTGCAATTTCTGAATTTTTTGCAACCTCTACGTAAAACATTAATTATCTAGGTTCATTAGCTGTGTACTTCCCTATCCATGAGAGACCATTATGAATGAAACATGCATGTCCAAACGATCCAAAGGGGGGGGCTGGGGGGCTCCAGCCCCCCCTAATGTCTTGATTTCAAGCCTAATCAATGTAGCAAAAGCTTGATTTCACCATTAAATCTTCATGCAAATCAACATCTCCATTGTTTTAGCCCCCCCTTATCCCGCATCGTGCATCCGCCACTGCATATATCTTACATGAAAAGTTGAGAATTTTTTTTAAAAAAAAAAGCAAACATGCTTTGTTTGCATGCGTCTGATACGAATGAGTTGCACCGTACCTCCGATCCATGCCAAAAAAAAGAAGATATAACTCTTAGTCTAGTTCTAATCAAACATTGTAATTTTAACTAAGTTTATAGAAAAAATAATATCAACTTTTATAGCTTCAAATAGATATGTTATGAAAATACAACACGTGACAAATCTAGGGTAGTTGTTTAGTATGTTAAATATTAGTATATTTTTTTACAAATTAAGTGATTAAAATTGATTGTCTTAATTAACATTATTATAGACGTACTTTTATTTGAAGAGCAATGTCAGGAGCTCTGGCTATCAATAATTACGAAAGGAAAGCAAATAGGAGAGGCTGGCCTTATTATCAAACTTCTTGTGCTCTCAGTCATGGGTGGCAAGAAGCTAGGCTGCATCTATGTCTTCCTCACCCCTTTGCGTGGATGTCTAGAAGACGGTCCTACAAATGAAAAATCTAATTAAGCATACAATCCTGAAATATAAGTTATTATCCAAGTGTTTTTTTCAGACTAAATAAAGACCACCTTGCCCCTCTCTAGGAGATTGGTGGGAGACCGCATCAAAGGAAGTTTCCAAAGAACAAAGACTGGATTTCAATGGGGTTTCCATATAGGTTATGTACGTGGACAAACTTATGGGAAAAGCGGGGGTGTCGGTAAATTTTCGAAAACGAAAACCTTAGCACATAGGAGGACATTGACCAACGCACGAAAGCATTTCAATTCATTTCAACTTAGTAGGAGCTGGCTTCCGCCATGCATACATATATAGGGTACTATGTTTGTCTCAATTTCCCTTCGAGTGGGGCAATAGCTTAATTAAGGCTGTTTTGTGGCCCTTATGAGAAGTCTTAGCACGTACTCCCTCTATTCCAAATTATCTGACGTTTTGGTATTTCTAGATATATAGTTTTTCACTCCGTATCTGGACATAATTGTATACCTACGTGCATAACAAAAATCATGAATCTAGAAAAAGCCAAAACGTTGTCTTATAATTTGGGACGGAGATAGTACTGTTGTAGAGTCCGATCCCATCCTTCGCAGTACGACCCAATGAGTTATTAGATATATTGTTTTATTTTAATTGAAAAAAAAGAAGACTCCATCCTGGCTGGTCCAAACGTATGTTCTGCTATCATAGGCTAGACACGAACTAGATACAAGAAAACAGTAGAGAGAGATGATGTACTACATGCTACCAGCAGTCCACAATCCACATGTAGTAGGGATTATTGTTTTTTGGCCGGCCGGCCGTTTTGTCATCAGTAAAAGTACTAAGTACGTACGGCCGGCCGGGCTCATTAATCGCATGCATGCATGGATGGATGAGACTTAACACTTGAGAGTGCATGCGTGGGGTGGGGTGGTTATTAGGAGATGATGAGAAGACCGGTGACGAACGAACTCACACTCACCTGCGAGGGTGTCGAGCAGCGTCGTCTTGCCACCGCCGGAGGGGCCCATGATGGCGAGCACCTCCCGGGGCGAGCGTGCCCGCTGATCCCGTCTAGGTTCCTCACGTCCGGCTCCCCGCGAGGGCTGCCGCCGCCGGCCGCCGACACTATATGAAAAATGGTTTGTAGCAATGGGGCAAATTTTTTATAGGGACGGCCAGTGATGCAGCCGCCCCTACAGTGACGTGCTCGGGAGACCAGAGACCAGCCGCCCCTACAATGGAACAATGAGGGCGATCGGATGATCTGACCGCCTTACAAATGGATCTGATTTGTAGGGCGGCTCACTCACCAACCGTCCCGGTATTTCTATTTGTAGGGCGGCTGGTGATTGAACCAAGCGTCTACAAATGCCCACGTATAATTACCTACCATTTGTAGGGGCGGCTCAATCACCAAATTTCGCCTACTAAGTGACACATATAAAACCTGCAGCACCTTCTTTCTCCTCGGGTCACTCACTTCAACCCGTGAAAGAAAGGTGGGGAGGCCTTTGGCACCTCCAAAAAATTGCTCTACTTTGATGACAATCATTCCCACATGCTCCACACACACACCCCACCACCACCACCGCCACACACACACACATCCAAAAAAAAAACAAGCACTACATATACGAATCTCTCACACATGCCAATGCTATACACGTATGTAATTCCAGATTCAAATAAAAGTTTGTCGTATGAAGAAATTTTTTAGTTAATATATATCAAATTGGGTTTTCTATTGTTTATATAAAGTTAACCCGTGAGGGAACACGGGTTGATGGACTAGAGGGTATATAGTTTTGAGACAACATTGTGTGCTGTGGCTGGTACTATATGTACGTGTTGACCCCTAAATAGCACTAGGATGAACTGAGAAATTAATATTGATCCGCAAAGCTCTCGCCGTCTTTTCTAAAAGAAACTGAGAAATTAAATTAGAGGCTCCATTATTATATTCATATATCTATCACTCACTCGTCTTATAATTGGGCCCGGCAGAGTCGGCCGACCTAGATAGAGGGCTCTGTTCGCTTAAGCTTATAAGCCAGAATCATCCTTACTTTTTCAGTCATGAAACAGTGTTTTTCTCTGACAACAAATGAGCCGCAGCTGTGACGATGGCCCGGCCCAACCGCCCAAGCACACTTATTTCTCACAGAGTAATAAACAAATCAAAATGTGTAATAAAATGGTTCCTGTTTATATATCGAAAAATATGCATACTGCATAGTACACACAAGCTAGCTAGCTATAGCTTGAATTTATTAGTGAAGATGATATATCCTACGGAATATATTTACAACTGCTTTCACGCACTAATTTCTGACAATACATATAGTCCTATAAACAGTCGATTCATTTTAATTTACCCGAAAAAGTGAAGGAATGTCAAGAACGATGATGTATAATCTAACTAAACGAACAAGTCGAGCAGCTGTGCCGAACTGGGCCTCTCATCTGGCACGACGACCCGTGCCAGGCCCACAACACAGCCAGCAGCAGCAGGCCCACCACAGCCCACCTCCTCTTCGGTAGCAGTAGTACTAGGCCCACCACGGTGCCTCCTCCTATGGCCGCCAAGGGCCTGGCCCGTGGAGAAGCCCAGCCCACACGCCGCGCATGCGTGGACCAGCACCGCCTTTGACGACCGCGTCTTCTTCTTGGTCGTCGTCGGCCGCCTGAGGTGGCTGGTCCGGTGGCCGCCCAGCGCCTGGAACGTCGGGAACTCCCGCCCACACGTCCGGCAGTCGAACGACGACGACGCCTGCTGCTTCCCTCGCCGCCGGCGACGGCGGCCACGCAGCACACAATGCGGCGGTGAGTTTGCCGGCGGTGTGCCTGCTGCTGGTGCTGCTTCCGAGGAGCAGCAGGACGAGGACGAGCCGCACGACAGAGTGAGGAAGACGTCGTCGCCGTCGAAGCATGACGGTCCATGGAGATGGTTAATAAGGCGTTCCATGACGCGACGTGCGTGCTTCTTATGCTAGCTTTCTAGTACTGTATATTTGTACACTCTGTGAGCTTTGGCTGCTGCTTAAGATCGAGCTGAAAGAGAGCTGAGGTCGATAACGCTTGTGTGCAAGATATATAAAGGGCAAGATCGAGTCTTGGATATATATATGGTTGTGATCCAGGTGAGGATCCATACTTACTTGTATATATAGTCGCTTCTAGCTGATCGATCTATGCATCTGCAGACTTTTCTATGTATGCTCATGTTCGTTTCACACACTGCTGGGGCCAAACAAGGGGTGCTTGCCGTGTCCGCGTGTAGTATTCCATCGATGGTAGTACTACTAGTGCATGCGCGTGGCTCGTCAAATCAGCTACCAGGCTTTTATTTGCAGCCTCGTGGCTGCTGCTGCTGCTGGTGGTGGTGGTTTCTTTCTCTTAGTAGTACCTTCGTCCCTCTTGCTAATGCTTATTACTACTCAGCCTAGCTATCTACTACTAATGTAGAGTATATATATTTATTGACTTTTGCTATTTATTTGTTGACAATTTTTTTTGTACTAAATCTGCCATATTTCTATACGTTAGATTGTGCTTTAAGATTTGTGCTACAACTATCTATTAGGTCGTATTTATAAAAAATCTGACAGATTTGGCTATATAAAATCTGTCGAACGATAACTAGACACTCCCATATTTATTTTACCTAGCTAGCTAATCTGGTACGTACTGCTTAATTAATTTCATTCAATTAATTGCATGCAACTTTTTGAGAAATTCAGTCATATAGCCATGCATGTGCTGAATCGAATAAGGAATTATTATTGTTATTGTTATTATTGTTGTTGTTGTTGTTATTGTTGTTGTTGTTGTTGTTATTGTTATTGTTGTTGTTTTTGTTATTGTTGTTGTTGTTATTATTATTATTGAGCGAGCATTAGGGTCTGTTCGCTAGAACTTATCAGCTATAATTTACAGTATTTTTATCTCACAACAAAACAGCTGCAGCCGGCTTAACAGCCGGCTTTAATGCCAGCCAAACAGGCCCTAAGTCTGCAGCGTGCGAACAAAGCTGATGTCTCTAGATCGATCTCGACTATATCAACGCGTCCATCCATGTTATTAAGAAATGACGTACCCTACGTACCGGAACGTAACGCGCTTGAGCATAACTGCTAATATTACACGTCATTGAATTCTATTCAATTATTCATGCGCACAAATAGACTTCTGAGCAGTGACCACTTGGACAGCTGCCTATCTATCTACTAGTATCAATTTGTAAAACATATAGGGTGTTGTTTGGTTGAGCAATGAGAGTGGAAACTGTAATGCAATCAATTGCCAGTGTCAACAGTTACAGGGGAACTAAAGTTGCTATTTGTTTGGCTCGTGGTGTGAGTGCTATAAGGAAAATGGACCCTATTCCCATTTACTTTGGATTTTGGTGTTTTATGACCAACACAACCAAATTGGACTAAAGAATTTGTAAGTGTTTATTTTGTAGTTCAATAGGGTGCAAGACGTGACTTGGATGAAGACGACGTGATGATCCGATGATCAACACCATAAGCAAGACCTTAGAAGCACAGGAGAAGACCCAAGATATCAAGCAAAGTCTAAACACGAAGATAGGAACCAAGCCGGACGCAAGATCGCGAAGAAACGAGCTCACAGAGGTGACCGAACGCTGGACCCGACGCTGGACAGCTCACAGATGTGACCGGACGCTGGACCGAACGCTGGACAACTCACAAAGGTGACCGGACGTTGGACCGGACGCTAAGCAGCAAAGTGACCGGACGCTGGGTGCCAGAGTCCGGTCAACATCAGTAAGGTTCTAGAGAGCCGTTTTCGTGACCGGACGCTGGTCAGAGTTCGGTCAGTAGCAGAAAAGCGGGATTTCGTCCCCAACGGCAACTTTCGCAGTGGGGCTTATAAATAGACTCCCAACCGGCCATTTGAGTAGAGTGGAGCTGAGGAAACATATCTAGGGTGTTGATACACCATTTTAGTGATATCCATTTGCATAGTGCTTAGTGTTTCATTAGGTGATTAGCGTGGGTGCTTTGCGAAGTGCTTAGATTGATTAGACCACCGCTTATGCGCTTGCTCTAGGTTTAGGCCTAGTGTTTAGGGAGGTTTGCATACCTCTTACAACTCGGTGCTTGCTCGTACCATTGTTGTACATCGGAGGGGCTTGTAGTCTAGCGAGATCACACCAACCGCGTTTGTGGTGTGGCCGCCACCGTGTACCGGAGAGAACAAGGCCCGCGGTGTTTCGGCCGGAAGCTTGATAGTGAAGACGGTGGGGAGCATCCAGGAGAGGCTTGCCGAAAGGCACGTCGGAGACCCACTTGCGCATGGGGAAGGCCCGAGGCTATCCACGGAGTTACTCGACCGGGAGCTTGGCCCTTACGATGGATTCCTTGCGAGGGGCTTCAACGAGGACTAGGAGAAAGCTTGCGCGCTTCTCGATACCTCAGTAAAAATACCGAAGTCGTCGACGGGGGTTTGCATATCTCTACCTTGCTCTTTAGCTTCCGCATTTACATTGATTACATCACTCCTTTTGCGGTAGAGATAGCAACACACTAGCAAAATCGTAGTTGCACATTTAGATAGTTTATCTTTTACATAGGTTTTGCTAAGGGTAGAAAAAGAGGCCATAGTTTAGAAGTTGAATTTTAAGTTGCCTAATTCACCCGCCCCCCCCTTCTTAGGCGTCACGGTCCCCTACAAGTGGTATCAGAGCCAGTTGGCTCAATTTGGACTTTTGGCTTAACCGTCGTTGAGCCGACGCTTTTTAGAGTGGTTGGGATAAATACCTCTAGGCATCCGTACTTTGACGGCACTAACTTCTCCTATTATAAAGCTAGAATGGCTTGCTACCTTGAGGCGATTGATTTAGGTGTTTGGAGAGTCACTCGTGACGGGATGAAAACCATTAAGAATCCAGATAAACCCACGAAGAGTGAAGAAAAGGAAATTCATTTCAATGCTAGAGCTAAAAATTGCTTGTTTGAATCATTTAGTATGGACGTGTTTAACCAAGTGTTCACTTTAAATACGGCACATGAAATTTGGTTAAAACTCCAAGAGCTTCATGACGGCACATCTAATGTCCGTGAGCAAAAACATTGTCTAGCTAAATAAAATTATGATTTCTTTACAATGAATGATGATGAGCTTGTTCGTGATATGTATTCTCGTTTGAATCTAATTATCAATGAGCTCCATTCAATAGGACTAACAAAGCTAGATGATGTGGACATCGTGAGGAAGATCATCTCTGTGCTACCACAAAAGAAATATGCAAGCATCATCACCATCCTTCACAACATGGAGGACTTGAGTACCATGACCCCGGCCATAGTCATTGGCAAAATAGTGACATTTGAAATGTCATGCAAGATGGGTCAAGAAGAAGCCTCTTCATGAAGCAAAGGCAAAGCTCTCACATGTAGCGAGAAAAAGAAGATGAAGGGCAAGCAAGTTGAGACAAGCTCAAGCTCAAGCTCCTCAAGTGAAGATGAAGAAGAAGATGATGACGATGATGATGATGACGAAAATTCAAGTGAAGATGATCAATCTTCCTCCTCCACCTCCGACCTTGATGAAGAATCAATCAAACTAATCAGTAAGGTGGAGAAGATGATCCAAAGGCTCAATGTCAAGGGTGTGCCAATTCAAATTCAAGATATCATCTTCACCAATCAAAGAAATGAGCAAAGAAAGAGATGATGCTATGGATGCGGCGAGTTGGGGCACTTTATGGAAGTTTGTCTAAACAAGCCCACACTCAAGACAAAGAATAAGGCGTGCAAAAACTAAGCCCTCACATCAATAAAGTCATGGGATGATTCTTCAAGTGAAGAAGAACACCATCACAAGAGGCGAGGCCGCAAGCACTCATCATCAAGCTCTTCTCGTGTGTGCCTTATGGCACGAGGTAACAAATGTTCATCCTCTAGTGAGAGTGATAGTGATGATGAAATGCTTTCTTATGATGAAATTGTGCAACAAAATCTTAATTATGCTAAAGTTTGCACAAGTCAACAAAAGAAAATCGAAAAATCTTAGTGCTGGAGTGCATATACTTATCTTGATATAGCTTAAGACCTAGTCTTGCATAGGTCAAGCTAGTCGTGGAACATAGGTATCGAAGATGTACCTTTGTTAAGCATATCCAAAACCTTGCTGGCATGCATGTTCGTTGTCTCCAAAAAACAAGCTTTTGGAAGTTTCTCTGAACTTGGAACTCAAGTACACTGCGTACGGCTGTCGCTGTTGAGTGACACCTCCGAAAGTTTCCAGGAAATTCAGCTGATGCTGCCTTCGTTGTTTGCAACAACCGACACCAAAATGAATTCACTGACGACTCGATCCATCGACTCTGCTTGCCGTGTGACCGTGTCCGCGTGTAGTATTCCATCGATGGTAGTACTACTAGTGCATGCGCGTGGCTCGTCAAATCAGCTAGCAGGCTTTTATTTGCAGCCTTCGTGGCTGCTGCTGCTGCTGGTAGTTTCTTTCTCTTAGTAGTACCTTCGTCCCTCTTGCTAATGCTTATTACTACTCAGCCTAGCTATCTACTACTAATGTAGAGTATATATATTTATTGACTTTTGCTATTTATTTGTTGACAGATTTTTCTTTTACTAAATCTGTCGATTTCTATATGTTAGATTGTGCTTTAGGATTTGTGCTACAACTGTCTACTAGGTCGTATTTATAAAAAAATCTGACAGATTTGGCTATATAAAATCTGTCAACAGATAACTAGATACTCCCATATTTATTTTACCTAGCTAGCTAGTCCGGTATGTACTGCTTAATTAATTTAATTCGATTAATTGCATGCAAGTTACTGAGAAATTCAGTCATATAGCCATGCATGTGCTGAATCGAACAAGGAATTATTATTATTGAGCGAGCATTAGTCTGCAGCGTGCGAACAAAGCTGATATCT